AATATATTAATAAGTAAGGCTATATATAAAAAATTACCGAATATAATAAACTTACTTCTTTTAATATCTAATAAATTCCAATGGTTTAAGGTATACTATATATGGTGGTGTACGTGACTTTGTATATTCATCTTTATCTTCATTTACATATCGTAATTCTCTAACCAAGTACTAACCAGTATTTTGAATGTTATCCAATCTATTAAAGGGAACATTCTCATATTTTGTAGCACTAAATTGAAATTCTTTAATATTCCTGTGCCACTCTTTGAGAGTCGCATGCTTGGCGCCAGGCTAGTGAAGTATAATATCGGTTGCAATATACATATTTTCTATTCTGACTAATTTTGGAAATTAATTACCGTACGGCATTGACTACGTACTTTTCAATAAACCATTGAATTTCTTGAATAGTACCCACCTGGGTACTAATTATGGTGAAGGGTATTATAATAGGGGGTAGTTTACATAATTTCATTATTATTTAATAAGGACATTAATCCAAGTATATATCTATACCCGGGTCTTTTTCAATTTCCTGAATCATGAACCCATGAATTGTACCTGGGTCTTTTCTATTGTGGTATTATAGCAGGGGTACTGTAATCAGTGCCGTACGGTACTTTTATAATCCCGATCACTATGCCAAGATCACGGGATTAATTAATAATATTCTGATCCATATGTAAATAAGCGGAAACGAAGTTTCCAACGAATCAGGATATTATTATTACCAATGCCACTGTGCTGTATGCTTTATAACAAAATTTGGAACATAAATAAATTGCCCTAATAAAAAAACTTAAAAAGTTTATCTTAAATGAAAAATTATATTATTTTGTAATTTAAAATATTAATAAATTTATTAAAAAATTTATAGATACAAAACAAACCCAAAGATGATCTACACCTATTCAATTGTTCAAACCATAAGATTGATTTCACTAAATAAATTACAGTATTTATGGTAAAAAAAAAAAAAAAGCACAAACAATATACATAGTGACTCATATAATGGATTTACTAATAAACTCACATTATTAGTTAATTTCTTTCTATTTCCCAAAATAATACGTTATATCAAGAGTCACTGTATATATAAAATTAAAAATTTTTTTATAAATCTTGTATTTTCAATGTTTTTGCCAATGTAAGAGCTTTTTCATTTTTAGAAGCAGCTGAAAGTTTCAAATATCTTGTACCTTTTTCAGAATTTTTCTGAATCACTTTTCCATATAAATACATATCAGCTAAAGTATACATGGCGACACTATTACCATTATCAGCAGCTAATGTTAAATATTTAAGAAATTCATCACGATTTTCTTTTACTCTTGGTAATAAACAAGCATAACGCAGTTGTGCATCAGGATAATTTTTATCAGCAGCAGTTTTATAAAGGTTTTTAGCTTCTTCTATATCGCATTTCTTTTGTTCATCAGTTCTGTTATCTGTATAGTGACCTTCATGTAAATAATAACCTTTCCAATAGATTGCAGATACATTTCCTAAATCAGCATTGGCTTTAAAGCATTCCCAGGCTTTTTTTCTATTTTCTTTATCGCCCGTTTTATGTAATTTTATTCCTTCCTCAACTAATAAAATTTGGTCAAAATCTGAATAATCAGTAATGTAACAATCATCAAATTCAGACACTTCACTTAAAAATATCTCATGGGGTTCATCAGATTTGCTGTTGTTAATGGTTAAAATAGCAGGTTCTTTACCCGGAATTACTTTTTTAGACAAATTTGATACATCTATGTAAAGCTGTTCAAGGCTGATTCTTACATCTGGATTATGTTCCCATGCTATTATTTAATGTTAAGCAAATATATTATATAGTATATTAATTTTTCTAATTTAATAAATATTTTAAAATTTACAGTATGATTTACAGTGTAAAGCATACCTTTTTTGATGATTGATATGAGATTATTTTGAATAATATCATTTTCAGGCTCTAAAACTGAAACAACATTACATTCTTCTCTTTTACCAGTTGTGACCTTTTCAATTATGACTTGAATATCATCGGTTTTATAAGGAATCTTTTGATAAGTAAGTTCCCATAATAGCATACCAAAGCTACACATATAATATCTATTAGTGATAAAAGAAATAATGACGATTGTACTTTGAAAATCTTGTTTTATATACCTACCTAAATATTTCACATTTTTGTGTATATGGGTACAGTTCAGCATCAGTCTCTGGAGATAAAGAACTATTTGTATTTTTGTATTTTTGCATTTTCTCGGGAGCCATCCAGTTAAGAAGGTCTAAATATTTATTACCAATATTTGTTGAACAATCATCGTGCCCCCTCGAATATTTAAAATTTGAAATTTTTGGTTCAA